TAAGGTGGTAAACATGTCACAGTGATCACTCACTTAGCTCCAAGCACTACCGTGCCTGAGTACAGCCTCAAAGTAGATCTGTAGTCTTCTTATTTACTTATCCTTTGATCGGATTTTGATAAGATAACTCCTGATTAAATTGGGAGACTCTGGCGGGTTTAGATTGTTTTATTGTTTTTTTCAGGGATTTTGATGTGTTGCACCTCAGAGATAGTAAAGAGAGGCTTCCCCACACAGTTATACTGCCAGTCCAGGGACAGAGTGAGCTACTTTAAGGTTACAGTTTTTATTGCTGTTCACTGAAACTGAGCCTTGATAATAATGCTGCACACTGAACAGCTGGCACAAGTGTTTTTAATATCAGTGTACGGGTTATGACTGGCTGTTAATACAGCCATGCCTCATACAGGCAGCACCGGCATTAATGTAGGTGTTAAAAAAGCTTGTGTGTCTGTGCACACTGGTGGATGTGTGTCGTCAGATTATGTGTCTCTTTGTTCCATCCCACATGTGCTGGGCCAGAGAGGAAGAGGATGCCTGGGGAGTTTTGACTTTGTCTTGTGATGCTTAAGCTAATTGAATGTATGAAAGTATGATCATAGGGAATAATGGTGGTAGGTTAATAAGGAAGATCATTAGTTGGCATGCAAGCTGTCTTTTCTGTGTACAGGATAACTAGAATCAAACCATTACAGTGATCACATTTGAATGGATGTACAGAAATGAAATGTTCATCTACCTGTCGCACCAGATGGTGACCACTCCACAAAGAGTCCCTTTGACTGTTTGAGTCATCTGAAATCCTGGATGGCAAAAAAAAAGTGCTTTCACTGAATGACCCTTTCAAGCTCTACAAACATTCTCACCGAGGCATCGATATTGGTCTTTTATCCAGCCGCGTCCAATTTACTGTTAAAAATCTTGGTGTTTTTTATGGGTAGCTTCTTGACTTTTAACAATCAAACCAGGAATGTTGTGAAGGTCAGCTCATTATTATTTGGCCTTACACAAAAATCTATCAACAAGCTCCAACGTGTCCAGAACTCTGCTGCCCGTATTATTACTAGGACTTCTTCTACCCACCACATCTCCCCAATCCTGAAGCAACTTCACTGGCTCCCGGTTAAACTTCGCATCCATTTTAAAATAATTCTGTATACATTCAAGGCTATTCATTCTCTCTCTCCACCGTACCTCTCTGACTTATTACAGATGAAGCTCCCATCCCGCTGCCTCAGATCTTCATCTTCTCTTTCTCTCTCTGTTCCCTCTGCTCGCCTGATTACAATGGGAGGGAGGGCTTTTAGCTGCTCTGCCCCTCGACTTTGGAATTCCCTACCCCCTGGACCTCAGAAATATTAGTTCATTCTCTCTTTTTAAGTCCACCCTCAAAACTCATCTGTTTAAAATTGCCTATCCTTAAATTTCTGTATGCTTTAACTTTTATCTTCTATTTTTATTATTGTGTATATTTCCAGTTTTTATCTGTTGTACAGTGTCCTTGGGTGCTTTGAAAGGCGCTATTTAAATAAAATGTATTATTATTATTATTATTTTATCAGCGGAGAATCATCACTAAGTCAAAGCCAGTGATGTAGAAACAGTTATCGACGACTTGGCACCTCTTGGCTTGACTGCTGCAGCTCCCTGTGTGTAGGATTGACAGTTTCCACCTTGATTGGAGATGGTTCAAACTGCAGCTGCTCAACGCTTAACCGGTGCAAAGAAAAGAGAGCACATCACTCTGGTTTTCACCCAGCTGCACTGGCTACCAGTGAAGTTTAGAATAGACTTTAAAGTTGTATTATTATTTTTTTTATAGAGTCCTCCATGGATTATCTCCACAGTGCATTGCAGATCTTAAACTCAGTATTTTGCCTCCAGGTCAATGAGTCCATCATCCCAACAACTTCTCTCAGTGCCCTCCCCTCGCCCAGGCAGCTGGGCCTTTGCTGTTATTGGCCCCAGGCTCTGGAAAACTCTTCCTTCTGACAAAAGAACCTGCTCAACAATTGAGAATTTTAAATAAACTCTAAAGACCTACCAGTTTTTGCTTTTTTTATTTTCTTTCGACATCTGTTGTTTCAAAATGCGCTATATAAAAAAAAAACAACATTTTATATTAAGTGTCCATATTGTTAACCATGTGCTATGGGAAGCTATGCTGTGCCTCGGTGGTTTGTTACCAGACTTTTTGGATGTTGCTAGAGGAGGTTATTGTAGATCAGATCCAAGCTAAAAAAGCCTTGAAGTCCAGTTTAGCTGTCCCTTTTCAGGTCCAGGTCCAAAGAAGAGTGGCTTCTATTGTTATCTTTGTCAGCAGAGTCAGCACTTTGCGCTGCCGTTGTTGCTTTTGTAAAGTAAACTGCTGGTCAGTAGTGGTTATGGCAAACCGGCAATCTTCTGCAGGCTCTTGCATGGCTGCAGTTGGAAGGTTGCTGAGCGTGGCCGCTTGCAGAGCACGCAGAGGAGATCTTGGGCAGGTGAAGTCGTAGTGGGCCTCACTGTCCTCAAAACAGAGCAGTGGATGAGCAGAAGTGGGCACCCTTGGTTTTGTTAGACTGGCATTTAGAGGATGGTCAACATTGGATAGCCACATTGCAGATGCAGGAGGTGACTGCTACGTCTTAAAGTAAAAATTCCATTCACATTGTACAAGCGAATGAATTCATCTGCGGGCTTTCTCGTGGTCCACTGGGAGACTTAAACTCCATCTCCATCCGTCGCTTTTTTGCTCATTTTTATCTCCACCCAGTTTTGCTTCTGTTATCTCTCTTTTAACTCCATTTTTCGTCTTACAAGTCTGTTTTTCTTCATCGTGTCTCTTAGGTCAAAATAGAGAAGATAAAAACACACATTGGGGATGGAGAGATGGAGAGGAAGGAGGGATGGAGGGAGGGGAGGGAGATGGGGAGGTTAATAGAGAGACAGATGGAGAAGAGGAGCTAATATAGCAGGGATAAGGAGGCTTAGAAAGTAATGATAAAATGCAGAGTGAAGTCATACGGTTGATTTGGCACCACTGCGAGGGAGTGTTGCTTGTTTTTTGTTTTTTTTAATGTGTGTGTGTGGCTTTGTGTGTTTATGCCTGTGTGTTCTTGACTGATGTCCTTGACTATATGACTGATAATATCGCTGCTTCAGGTCCCTGGTAAAGCAGACGGAGAATTTATGTGTGTGCGTTCGCATTATGTGCAAGAACGATCGTGTCTGCTTGAATGCATCCACTCCCTCGTGTCCTCAAATGCCGCATCACACTCAGGCACACCTAGTTTGTTTTTGTAAAATCCTCCCAAGAATCGTACTTTTAATGATTTCATATTGGTTAATATCAATAATTTACCACCACTTGAGTTTATCAGTGTTCCACTTGCTTCTTCCTCCTTACCTTTTACTTCTTCTTTCATCTGTCTGTGTGTTTCAAAATGTTTTATTCCCCTTGCTTGCAACCATTCCTTACATCTCAGTCTGTCCCATTCAAGATGTGAGAAAGAGGCTGAATGAAAAGATGAGAGAAACCAGGAGACGCTTAAAATACACGAAACCCGCTGAGTGAGAGATGCTAGGATGCACGGTTGTAGTGAAATGACACGTCCCTTCCCTCTCTGTGTCATCTGAAGTAACATCAGTTGATGGTGTCACATATGGTTCACCTTCAAGTTTGTATTTGCACTAAAACGTAATGCACTGCAATTATTTTTAATTGCAGAGGGAAGAAGCACCGACTGTGTGGTGTGCTGCTGGAATACTGGAGCAGCAAATCCCGTCCCTGTCATCCAGTAAAACTTTAAAAGGACTCCAGAGTCTATGACCGAGTACCCAAGAGAGCCAAAGACATTAAGTGCAACAAAATCTGGGATTTATACTTTACTAGACAAATGCATCTCAGTGCCGTTGCACATCTGTTCTCAGTGTTGTGTTGCCTGATCAAATGTTACACCAGTGTTTAGTGTCAGGCAGCCGTCAGCAAAAGAAATGCAAAAGATGCATAATTTTGAGGCCGCAAGAGATTTATGGTAAATCTGAGCTGGGAAGTCAAACACAAGCCTGACATTTTGTTGTTGTAAGTAACGGCTTTATCATGAGCAGTCTGAGCCTACAGGCTGTGAGGATCATTGAGGATCACTTAGGCCCTGAGACGGGGCTTGACTGACTGGAGGCTACTGAGGGAAAATAGATTGCATAACATGGCATCAGTCATTGTGAAAACGGTCTGCCTTTGGAACCGCACCAGGCTTCCATGTTTTTGGGTTTTTTTTGTGTCACAGGTTATCTCTGGCCACGAGCATTGTTTTCCTGTGCATTAGTTGCAGTTTTGGAGTTACATGCTGGCTTTCTGTTTAAGTAAAACCCAAGAGCTGTTGAAGATATTATTCGTAGGACCAGCTTTCAGATGAACTGGGTAGTTTAAAAATGTGTTGTTATTGTGGGGTTTTCTGTGGGCCTAATGGTTGCACATGCTGTGACCAAACTGGTCTACAGTTTCATTCCCAGCTGGGGCTTTTGCTCTGTGTTCTAACCTTTTTTCTACCCTGACTTTGTCTCTCTCAACACTGTGCTAAAAATGATATATTCAAGAATTGTGCAAGAGAGTCAATAGTAAGTGTTAAATACAGTCTACTTTGAGGTGCTGTATAATATTTAGATTTGTAAACTCATATCAATATAAAGATTTATAAGATTTGTTTTTGCTGAAAGACACAGGCAGAAATTAGAAGATTGAAGAAAATAACAAAGCAGGGCGAGACTGTGTTAAAATCACAAACCATGCATAATATGGGTCACTGGTTCAGAAAGATATCTGACTCTGGATGCTTCCCAGTTTTTCTTATTGATGTTCTGTTGTGTACATGTAAACATGTGCCATTTTGCAGTAACTCACAATATTAAAGAATGATTCTGGATCCAAAAATCCCTTTTCAATTGGGCCAAGTCCCACCTTGGTAAAACCTAGCCAATCACACGACCTTCTTGCATTTTTTTTCTCTTCTTCTGTAAAGGTATTTCGTACTGACTTCATCACTGCCATGAAGCTGCCGGACTCAGCCCAGCTCGGCCCAGACGACTTCTACGTGCTTTCAGACCCTTGGAGACAAGAGTGGGAGAAGGGAGTGCAGGTCCCAGCCAACCTAGAGGCCATACCGGAGCCTGTGGTCAGGTAGGAAATACACAGAGAACACACCGATAAACACCCAAACCCATGCAGTAGTTTGGTATTTAGTACCAAAGGTATTTTTTCTTTTGTTCTCCATTTCATTAAAGCCTGAAAGGCAGATTTAATCTGCATTGCTCTTGTAAGCACTAACAGCTGCCAATGGGGACATGAAGTTGCTGCCTTTAAAGAGATCTTGGAAAAGTTTTGCATTTGAACTTTTGTTTGGCATGACTAATTGTTTTTCTTTTTTCTTTTTGGAATATTGTTAGATTGTAGATTTTGTTGCAAAGTTCATACAACTGTGAAAATTAAATTTGCTAAGGTAATTTTGATAAGCTCTTGTAAATGTGGCTAAACGAGCAGACGAGATGCCTGAAGTTCCAAAGAGCTTTTGCTGGAATGATTAAAAATAACAAACAAAGGGCAATTTTTTTTTTTTTTTTTTTTGGGGGGGGGGGGGGGGGGGGGGGCAATTAAAGTGTAATAACAGGTATGGGAAGCCTTTACATAATTACATTTCCTGCAATTACACTAATTAGCAATACATTTGAAATGGAAAATATGCACACTCACTCCTGCACACGGAAATCTACAAAGGTATAAAGTGAGACGCTTTAGCTTTCTGTGCTTCAGTTCATTCATCCGTAAACACACACACACACACACACACACACACACACACACACACACACACACACACACACACACACACACACACACACACACACACACACACACACACACACAACATCAAGCTGGTAGGCAGATGTGTACAGGCATGCACTTTGACCCACTTACATTCACTCCCATACTGTAAATTAGTCGCCTTTTTCTCTTTCTCCCTCTGTGTGTCTCTCTTATGGCGGTAGTCTCTCCAACTCTCTAGTACTACTGCAGCTGCTTCACGTGCCCGTGTGGTTTGTTTGGTGTTCTAGGAACTAATAAAAATGCTCAGACTGCCTGGTAATGCCTGTTGCACAGACATGCCATACTGTGAGGCCACACACGCACTGGCAAGCACACACAAGTGTTCAGTCTTTTTGAGAGACGGAGAAATAAACAAGTTATCGAGTCATGACTTATCCTCTTCAAACCTTCTGCATCCATGAATGCTTCCCCCCCAATTTACATGGCTCAAGAACCCCAGTCGCAGAAAATTATTAAACAAAAATATAGAGGCAGTGGGGGTTTTTTTGTTTTTGTTTTTTTACAGGAACATGGAGTAGGTGAAGAGGTGACACACATGTTGGTTAGAGGAAAGCAAAAAATTCCCACCATGGTAGATGTTTCTCATCTTTTTTTGTTTTTTTCCACTCTTGACTCAAGTTAAAAATATTTGTCCACTATTTAAAGCTGTTGGAGGCATTTTGTTTGTTCTAAATTGTTTTTAATTATTCAAGGGCTAAACTGGAAGAAAAATCACCATCTTGCCCCAAGTTTATCAGCGAGAGGTCCTAGGTCTGAATCACGGACAAGCCCCCAATTAATGAAATGGAATATCTATGGGGGACTAATGCAGTACATGAAAAACTCCTGTCTACTTTAAATCCCAAGTAGCCACAAGAAAAACTTGAGTAAATCAACAGGTGTTGTATTTATTAAGTAATAGTTTCAGAGGAATGGTTTAGGTTGAGCCTTTTGGAGACCAAAGATAGAGAGGCAAGGCTGAGATAATTTAGACATAGTGAAAATATTGGCCAAAGGATGTTGAAAATGGAGCTGCTAAGCAGAACGAAAAGAGGAGGATGTCAGAGAAGATTCATGAATGAATGTAGTGAAGAGGGACATGCCGAGGGTTGGTGTGACAGAACAGGATGCTGGGATGGGGTGAGATGGAAGCGTATGATCTGCTATTACGACCCATAAAGGGACCAGCCAAAAGACGAAGACATAGTAGTTTCACAAATTCAGGAGTACAAATCAATGTCAGAATGAGCCAAGGCCAAAATAACAAACAAGAAAAACTGTCTACACTCCAAACTGAGATAACTTACTCATAAGAAACAAACCAGAAAGCAACAGCAGTGGCTCACTACCTATCATAAACAAGAGAAAACTATTCAAAAACGTGGCAGCTCAGCCTTATCCACTCCTTTAAATGCAAATCTTAAAATAGAAGTTGGAAATAGACCCAAGTGTTTCTGGGGGGAAGTTGGAAAAGTGAATAATCCTCTACCCAGATGCCATCTTGGCTCCTTATGTGTATGATAATCATGTTGGTGCCAGTCGCCTTTGAGCTGTACATGGGCCATACCATATCGAGGTACCTACACATTCAAATTAGCTTATTCTTTTTCACACTATTGAGATGTTCTCCCATGTACTTTAAATGGATTACTTGTAAGTCTATGAAGGTGCATCAGCATGTTAGAGGACTTATTTGCACACTAATCATTATGTTATGAGTAAATTGATTTATTTTAAATTAAATAACCTCAATAATTACTTGCTGTACCGATTGTTTAGCTATTTGAGGCAATAACCTTTTTCCCTAGCTGTTTAAGGACTAGACTGGAAAGAAATCACTGCGATGCTCGAAGTTCAGAAGTGGCTGCAGGTCAGGAGGCAGCAGGGATGTTCACAAGGCTGGGGGTTGATCACAAGCTCAATCTCTTACCTGTATCACAGTGTTGTTTGGCAACACTCTGAACACCCATTATATTATTTTGCACATTCATGGTCGCCATGAATAGAATTGAAGTAATTATTTTTCATTAACCATTCAGCCACTCCCTTATAAATAAAACAGAAATCTTTAGGATCTTGACAGCAGAAAAGGGAGTTGGAATGGTCTAATGCCATGTCTAATAGCGATATCTCTCAGTACACAGTTTTGATAACAAACAGTTTGTCTTTCAGTTTTACTTTCTTTTCAATTTGAAATCAGACAAAAGAATGAATGAGTCTGACTGCAGGCAGAAGACAAATGTTATAAATAATAGAACAGGAAACGGGAAAAAATCTGGTCATCTATGAGGTTTGACAGGATTGCTGTGCCACCCTTACTGTTTGCATTGCTTACCAGGTTAATATCATTTGTGACATATACACACACGCTCATGCTTATAAGCAATATGGCGCTAACAGATTGAACAGGGCCTGGAGGCAGAGAGATAGATGAGCATATTGGGAGAGAAAGAGAAACGCATAAAAGAGATAGTTGAGGATAGATGGATGCATGCGGGCATATCTATTATCTTGTATGTGATAGGACGAAGAAGGGATTTACTGTGACGCTGAAATGGAGTGATGATGGATGAATGGTGGGATAGTGTTAAAGAAGAGTAAGTGTGAGTGAGCTGATGGTCTCTGTCAGAGCCCCCGACGTTCATCCTTTTTTTTCCCCTCTCGTGTGTCACTTTGACGCCCCTCGTTTTTTCCTCTTCCTCTTTCCTATCCTTTCCTCTCCACACTTCGTTCTGCGATATGCTTGGTCTGAAACTGATCCCTGTGATTTCCTAGGTTTTACCCATATACGAGCCCCTGCGGTCAGGCAGAATCGGTGGTAGGAGAGCTTATTTTCACAGAGTAAGTGATGATGATGCTGAGACATTTTTTAGGTAAAAGGTCACAAGTAAATGCAATTACCAGACTGTAAGGATACCTCTTTAAGCTGTCAGTTTATGCAGCTTATCAACATAAATCACTGCTATTAGAACATTTTTAGTTAGAAATGACTTGTAAGATTGTGGGAAAATAGTTTTTTTTTTTTGTCTGCTATTTGCTTTAGTGCTTTTATGGGCAGCTGTTGCTTTGTTCGTTGTCGCTTGAAAGGTCACCAGTAAACAATGAGCTTCTTCTGTCTTTTAAATTCATTACAAATAAGTTAATAGCAGAGGTTGTCGCCCACGTAGAACAAGACATATGGCCAATAAGGCTGTTATGGCTTGTCAGCTGAAGAAAGATTAAACATAAATTCCATAGTAGGTTTTTTTTTTCATTCTCATTTGATAAATTTGATAACAAGTATACATTGTATAGCACACAAATATTTTTAAGGAACTCATTCATCAAAAAAAGTACTTACAGCAATAACTACTGCAGGGTTACCATTAAAAATTAAGAGTGATGCTTGGGTGTTTCTATGTCAAATTGTAAACAACACAAATTCAGTTAGAGGAGCACTCTTAAGTCTGTGTTGTTAAATATAAACAGCAGCCTTTTAGTTTAGCTTAGCAGATCACTAGCACTTGGAAGGAAAACTGGCTAACAGATAGTAGGAAGATATTCCTATAAGCACCAGTGTTTAAGAAAAATTAGAATTTCACCGTATGAGCAGATATAGCCCACAGACAACTATTTCCCAGAGGGCTGGGATATAAGCAGACCTTATAAATATAACCTGTAAGGTTCTGAAGGGAAAACAACCCTAAAAGGGATTTTTAAGGCTGACATGGAAATTAAAAATCAGATACAGATTTGGATACTGCTCCCGCACTAAAACGCAGTTCACCTTTTGTGGCCTCGCTGTTTCACTGATTTTTTTGGTGCAATTTTGCATGATTTTTTTTTTCCACAGCTCGTTGTTTTCTGCATCCTGATTGGCTGTAGACCATTGTCAATCCATCTCGTGCCGTGTCTCCAGTACAGTACAGAATGCGTTTAGCTTGCAAAATTTATACAAATCTTCGATCGCTAGCAGTGTGACTCTAAAGTGCCGTACTGTATGTTTGTACGTTTTCTCCCCAACAAACACAACAATACCGTAAATTCCGTATTGTTTTTTTAAATGCTTTTAAAATCCTAAAATCCTACCCTTGTATACTTTTAAAATTTGAAATAACCTGGTGCCCAGTTACTTAACAGACCTTCTCGACGTGTATTGCCCCAAGACAGCGCTCAGATCCTCTAATCAACTGCTCTTAGTGCAACAAAGGCAAATCAAGTTGGCTACTTCGCAGATTTCACCTATCACGGGTTATTTTTAGAACGTAACTACCGCGATAAACGAGGGACCACTGTATATTGGTCGATCTTTTCGTCACTTTCAGACAAATAAACAG